CGTTCTTTCTCTGTCTCTCTCTTTCGTTCTTTCTCTCTCTCTCTCTCATTCTTTCGTTGTCTCTCTCTCTCTTTCTTTCATTCTTTCTCTCTCTCTTTCGTTCTTTCTCTTTCTCTTCTCGCCCCTTGTCGGGGCCCTCGGTTTTTCTTTCTCTGTCTCTGGGGAGGAGACAGACAAAGCTCACTGTCTCCATGCAGACTGTACGTGATCCCGAAGCATAGCCACCGAGTCCTGTCCCGGGCCTGGGTTAGCAACAGGGCTGCTGAACCTGCTCACCGATTCTGCTGAACATTGGAAGTTCCTCCCTTCTGAGGCCATGCCCTGTTCTCTCAGCATTAGAACATTAGCCTCCTGTACCTGAGCAATTAGGTACAGTGGCTCAGTGGTGCCTCAAAGCGCCAGGGACCGGGGTTCGATTCCAGCCTCGGGCGACTGTCTGTGTGGAGTTTGCACATTCTCCCCGTGTCTGCGTGGGTTTCCTCCAGGTGCTCCGGTTTTCTGTCACTGACTAAAGATGCAGGCTGGGTGGATTGGATGCGCTAAATTACCCCCTAGTGTCCAGGGATGTGTAGACTACGTGGATTGGCCATGCATGGGAAATGCAGGGTTACAGGGATAGTGTAGTGGGTGGATCTGGGTGGGATGGTCTTCGGAAGGTCTGTATTGATCTGATGGACTGAATGGCCTGCTTCCACGCTGTAGGGATTCTCTGATTCTGTGAATATCCCAAAGAAGGCCATTAAATTCAGGAGGCTTTATTGTGATTTACCACTGCCAAGCCCCATAATCTGACCTCCCTGTCTCCAATGAATCTGAGCCAGTAAACATTGAACGGTGAGAAACAAACACTGCTGTTTTTTTGTTAATGACCCAAGGAATTTTTCCTCTCTCTCTCAGCATTGTCCAGGATTTCATTACTAGACACTCAGTCTATAACATGAGAGGCTCAAAGTAACAATTTCTGAGTCCCCATCTGTCGATGTTTGTGTGTGTCTCTCAGTCATTTGTTCAGTAGACTGTTCATCCGTATAGAGCCTGTTACAGCCTTGGAGCGCTTCACAGCCAAAACAGCACAATTTTCTTGAAGTGCGGTCGTCATTAGGAAACGTAGCTGCCGATTTGTGCACAGATGTGTTTGTTAATCCAGAGACCCAAGCAACGTTCTGGGGATCAGTGTTCGAATCCCGCCACGGCAGATGGTGGAATTTGAATACAATAAAAGTCTGGATTTAAGAGTCTCATGAAACCGTTGTTGATTGATGGAAAAACCCATCTGCTTCACAAATGCCCGTCAGGGAGGGAAACTGCCTTTCTTACCTGCTCTGACCTACATGTGACTCCAGCAATGTGTGTGACTGTGAACTGCCCTCTGGGCAATTAGGGATGGGCAATAAATGCTGCCTGGCCAGCGATGTCCTCATCCCGTGAATGAATTTTTTAAAACAAAAAAATCTGTTGATTTAAAGGGCAAATGTTGGCAGGACACACTTCTGCTCTTCTGTAGAATAGGAGTTTAGAAGGATGAGGGGAGATCTAATTGAAACTTACAGAATACTGAATGGCCTGGACAGAGTGGATGTTGGGAAGATGCTTCCATTGGTAGGAGAGACTAGGACCCGAGGGCACAGCCTTAGAGTAAAGGGAAGACCTTTTAGAACGGAGATAAGGAGAAACTTCTTCAGCCAGAGAGTGGTGAATTTATGGAATTCACTGCCACAGAAAGCTGTGGAGGCCGGCTCATTGAGTACATTTAAGATTGAGATAGATAGGTTCTTGACTGTCAAGGGGATCAAGGGTTATGGGAGAAAGCGGGAGAATGGGGTTGAGGAACTTATCAGCCATGATTGAATGGCAGAGCAGACTCGATGGGCCGAATGGCCTAATTTCTGCTCCTATGTCTTATGGTCTTATAGTACCGTGGGATTTTTCTATGCCTGCCTGAGAGAGCCCTTGGGGCTTCAGTTTAATTCCCCATTTGAAAGGACCAGCCCCTGTGACAGAGCAGAGCTCCCTCAGTGCTGCTGCAGTGATGGTCTCTGATTGTACTCGTTCACTCCAGTCTCCGAGCTGCGTCTGGAACCCACAATCCCTGGCCTTCTGAGGTTGGATTGTTCCCTACAGAGCCATACTGCCAGGGAACGCCAATCTAACCCAGGCTGACACTCCCAGTGCAGCGCCAAGCGAGTGCTTTTTGCACTCTCTTGAGGTGACACCTTCCAGAAACGATCTTAAACTGATGCCATGTGTGACCACTCTGTTAGACAGACACGAATAATCTGTGACCTCTATCTCAAAGAGCGGCAGAAATCATTGACCCCTGTCTGGAGCCAAGATTCATCCCTCGACCAATGTTGCGGAAAAGAAAACAGATTTTCACTGGATGATTGTGGGATCTTGCTGTGCTCAAATCGACTGTTGTGTTTCCTACTTTGCAATATTAATTACACATCAAAACAAAAACCCACTTTGACTCTGTGGTGCTTGGACACTATAAGTTTAAACATTGCTAAAAGGTGACTACAAGTTATGGCTTTTAGGTCTTGCCCTTATCAGAACGAGGAGGCGAGAAACAGATTTTTGGAAGAGACACTGTTTTATACGTAGCGTGCTGGTTGGTTGCACCATCATTAGCAAGGCGATGCACCAAGAACAGTTAACTGTCAATCTAAAGGGTAGGAAACTGGATCAGCCATGATCCTATTGAATGGTGTGGCAGACTCGAGGGGCTGAGTGGCCTCCTCCTGTTCCTGTTTATTATGGTCTTAATTCTCATGGCAGGGTGATAGATCCTGATCGGTCCAGGCATTGCCCTGGGAATGCAAATACAGGTTTGTTCTCTCCCTCTATCCGTGAGCAATGCCACAGGAGGCCTGCTCCACAAGTGCCTTGTCCTTGGGGCCGTTTCCTTGCATTCGGGGTAAGCTGGTGAGATGTGGTGAAGGGTTCGTTCAGTGTCTGTCTGAGGTAGTTTATCCAGCATTAGCTGCAGCGTGGGAGGGCACGTTTCTGTATAAACACTGCTCCTCCTGTCGCACTCCTCCTGCTGGCCTCCAGGATTGGTGCTGCTTCTTGTTGGCATTGCTACCTGTGTTTTCTCAATCTAATCCAATTCCCAAAGTCTGCAATTGTTTCCCAGTGCATCTGCTATAGTTACTGGAACATCTGCCATCTGTGTGTCAAACATAAGTGTATGTCTGTGTCTGTCCGTCTCTCTCTCTCTTTCTCTCACTCTTTTCTCTCTCGCGCTCTTGCTCTTCTCGCTCTTCTCTTTTCTCTCCCTCTTCTTGCTCTTCTCCTTTCTCTCACTCTTCTCTTTTCTCTCTCTCTCTCTCTCTCTCTGAAGCTGTATCATGTCAGTGTGTGTGTGTGTGTGTGTGTGTGTGTCTCTGTCAGTATCTGTATCCTTGTCTCATTCCCTTTCACAGATTGGGTGCTGATAAACCTCCTCAGCATCTTGCATAGGTTACTGGACAGGCCGCCTCCATAGGATAACAACCACCCTGCCCCCCTCCACCCTCGTCTCCCACTGGGTTCCTCCTCCTCCTCCCTCCTGAGTCTGATGTTTGATTTTTGCCTCTGTATCTGCTCTCGCTAACTCCTGTGTCCATCTGTCTGTCTGCTCGCAGCTGCTGAAAGCTCTCTTGTCTGCTCTCTCTCTCAGCTGAGAATCTATCAGGAAGATTATCAGAAGGAGAAGTTGGAGAAGGAAAAATTTCAAAGGCTGCTGAAGCATCAGAAACAGGTATTGACCTCCCATTGGGCTCGGGCAGTGCCTCCTTGGATGGGAATTGGGGTTCAACGGTCAATGTTGGGATCACGTAGGATGCCATTCAGCCCCTTCCACCTGCTCTGTCACTCACTGAAATTTATGTGTGTGTGTTAATTCCACAAAAAAATGCCTTTTCTTGACTTTTCATCATCCCTTTGAAATAACAGAAATTAATCGAAAATACAAAGAACTGTGACTGCTGGAGAAACTTGGCAGGTTTTGGAAGCATCTGTTCAGAATGTTTTCTGAAGATGTTAGATAGGCAACATTAATTCTGCTTTCTCTCTCCACAGATGCTGCCAGACCTGCTGAGCTTCTCCAGCATTCTCTGCTTTATGATTTATTACAGAAATCCATCAATCCCTGATCTGAAATGCGCCCATCAATTGCCTTTTCTCAAAGTGGCTTCCAAATTCGTCGCCCCTTTTTCCTGTGGAGCTGTTTCCTTACCTGACTCCCTTTAAAACAGATGCTCCTTAAATCTAAATTCCTCTACACAGCGAGAGATATGTCTCTCTCTCTTTGTTCGCTGCGTTAGCTGCACCATGAAGCAGCGAGAGAAATGTTATATTGTTAAGTAAGACCAGAAATATTAAAGCGTTTCTCCATGGTGCTGAGAGTGGAAGGGAGCAGATACGAAACTGTCCAGTGTTGTCAATGTTTCTCTGACCTGCCTTAACCTTCTTTTGCTAACTTGCCAACTTGCCAGTCTGTGAAAGCACATTCTAACTCTGTCCCCGGCTGCAAATTCTACAGGACAGGGACAGACATAACCTGCCTATTAGTGATACTTATGGGATTCCTGACTGATGGGAACTTCTTTTTTGAGCAACTTACAAACAAAAAACACTTAGCCTCGAATGTTACGACATTTCATCTATGTGCCCAGTGGGACTAGTGCGCAATATAGTGTGATAGTACATACTTGATGGACCAAACAGCCTCTTCTCATAGATTCCCTACAGTGTGGAAGCAGGCCATTCGGCCCATTGAGTCCACACACACCTCCAAAGAGCATCCCACCTAGACCCACCCCCTTACCCCATGCCTGTAACCCAGCATTTCCCATGGCCAATCCACCTAATCTGCACATCTTTGGACTGTGGGAGGAAACCCACGCAGACACGGGGAGAATGTGCAAACTCCACACAGACAGTCGCCCAAGGGTGGAATCGAACCCGGGTCCCTGGTGCTGTGAGGCAGCAGTGCTAACCACTGAGCCACCGTGCTGTCCATCTTCTATACTGTACGATTCTATGATCAGGTACAGCTCAGTGGCTGACACTCTGGCCGGAGGGTCAGCGCTGAGGGGGCGCCGCGCTGCCGGAGGGTCAGCGCTGAGGGGGCGCCGCGCTGCCGGAGGGGTCAACCTTTCTGGTGAGAGTTTCAAACCGTCCCAAGTGCCTGCGGGCTGATGGGTAACAGGCTGAGTACTAACCCAGGTTGGGCCTGCCTTTAAACTTGGGCTGCCGTGGAAGAGGGAGAAACATGATTGGTTTTTTTTCTGCTAATCACTCGATCCTGCCAGTTGGGCATCTGAGACGTGACTGGCACTTTGTGAAGAACACCAAGTTCTCCGGAGTCATGTCTCCAGAGTTAACACACCGCCATTTTTATTTAGAAAAATAAATGGAATACCTGATAATTAACATGTAATTGTTGGGTTCTTGCTGTGTACCAGATGGTTGTGATGCTGCCTGCATTATTGAGAAGGAAGTTCTGAGGAAGGGTCACTGGACCCAAAACGTTAAATGTTTGTTTTCCTTCACAGATGCGGCCAGACCTGCTGAGCTTTTCCAGCAACTTTGTTTTTGTTCCTGACTTACAGCATCTGCAATTCTTTCTTTTTTTTTTATTGATAAGAAAGTGTTTGATTGACTATAGAGTGGTGTTGGGGGCACGTTGGGATGGTGACAGCTGCTATAGAAGTGAAGGTGTGTTTTGGATGAATAGCTGTGGTCCAGTCTGTCAGGGACACTGAAAAAGCTCTTGGTCACCTCAATCTTTGTGGGTTTTGCAGGTTCCCAGTGAGAGGAGGTCATCAGATCCACCGCCTGGAGCCCCAGGGCCATACTGCCCCCCTCCCTACCAAATACAGTATCCACCCCTCCCTCACCCTGCCGCTGGCATTGGAGGTTTCGAGTGGCAGATTCACTACCCTCCTGCTGGACCTGGTGCACATGCCCATTACCGAGGGGTAGGTATGAGAAAGCAGCTCTTCAGAGTCACCGTGTCTCCCTCTCTGTGTCCCTCTCTCCATCCCGTTCCCCCCCCCCCACCCCAGCCTTCTCCGTCTCCCTCTTCCCCCACCGCCTTCTCTGTCACCCTCTCTACCCCCCACCCCTTCTCCATTTTACCCCCCCTTTCACTTTACCCCTTCCCCTTGGCCCCTCACACCCTTTCTGTGTCTCGCTTTGGTTTTCCCTCTCTCTCTCTCTCTCTCACTACCTCCCCACCCAAACCCCCATCTCTCTAACTTTTTTTTTTATTATTGTTTGTGCTAACTGCAGTCGGAGTTTCCCTGGAATGCCCCATTCCCAGCCGCACGGAACCAGCACGCTGCAGAGACAGACCGGCCCAAGGCTGATGGGAAAGGTGAGATGTCACTTAGCTTTGGTCAGGATTTTAGTGACAGTCGGATTGAACTGATACCCCCTCACACTGCATCTGTCTCCATCTCAACTACCCTCCTTCCTGCCCTACACCCCCATCCCCCAGTCCTGACGAAAAGTTTCAGCCTGAAACGTTGACTTCCCTGCTCCTTGGATGCTGTCTGACCTGCTGTCTTTTTCCAGCTCCACATTTATTGACTCTCAACATTACTGATACAAACCACTTCCATCAGTTTATCCGATTCCATCCTGGAGCAACTTTCTGTCCTCAGGCCGCTTCCTGGCTTTGCAACAATCTCCATGCACCAAATATTTTATTGGCTGGGTTTGTACTTTGAGGTGTTCTGAAACCAGGAAAGGTGCTATCGAAGTGAAAATCATCTTCATTCCTTCTTCCTGTGACTGACTGTGTTCCCCAGAGTGAAAGGAGGAAGTTTACAGGAACGGGCCACTGTGGGGCTGGGAGGGTGCCTGTTGGATGGCCATTTATGGATCATTTGGGAAGAGGGAGTGTTGGATATTTGCACAAAGATACTGAAACTGAAGTTTCACTTAAACAGAAGCTCTGGGCTTTTTATTCGATAACTGATGTTTGCGCCTGCACAGGAAGTTGACTGGAGATGACAAACAAGACACAGCAGTCCCCTGAGTGCTGTGTTGAAAGGGATTTAGACAAACAGGCCATGGATTGTACTTTGTACTGGTTAACATGCCCTGGGTGCTGGGACTGTTGGTTTGGTGTCTCAGACAGAGCAGATTGTTAAAGCCTGCATCCTCAGCCACAGCTTAAAGCATTTAAACCTAAATAAAACCAACAAGGCATCGATTTTTCCCAATTCCCAGTTAAACAGACTTTTTAAAAAAAGTTTAATCTGTTATAGGTCATCACTAAATGTGCAGCACTTGATAAATCCCAGGTAGAAGAAATAAATGTTTGTATTTTATACAGCACCTTTCACCACCTCTGAATGGCCAGGAGCATTTTACAAGCAGTGGAGTACTTTTGCAGTTTCTTCGTCGTTGGAATACAGGAAACACGGATCCTGTTTTGTGTACAGCTGGCTCCTGCAAACGTTGATGTGATAATGAGCAGACTCACAGAATTAGGGGAGACAATGGCCTAGTGGTATTATCACTGGACTGTTTATCCAGGTTCCCCAAATAATGTTCCGGGGACCTGGGTTCAACTCCCACCAAATTATCTGGAATTAAGAATCTAATAATGACCATGAATCCATTGTTGATTGTTGGGGGCCCCATCCAGTTCACTAATGAAAACCAGTTTTCTGATGAAGGGTCTAGGCCCGAAACATCAGCCTTCCTGCTCCTCTGATGCTGCTTGGCCTGCTGTGTTCATCCAGCCTTGTTATCTCAGCTCACTAATGTCTTTTTAGGGAAGGAAACTGCAATCCTTACCTGGTCTGGCCTGCATGTGACTCCAGACCCACAGCAATGTGGTGGGATGGGCAATAAATGCTGCCTGGCCAGCAACGCCCTCATCCTGTTAATGAATTTTAAAAAATCATCGCAGCACAGAAGTAGGCCATTCAGCCCATCATGCCTGCCTGGTTCTGTCACCCAGTGCCAATCTCCTGCTTTTTCCACATATCCCTGCCCACCATTTCTAATCAAATAATGCCCCTTGAATGCCTGAATTGAACCTACCTCCACCGCATTTGCAGACAGTGCATTCTGGATCCTAACCACTGATTGGGTGAGGAAGATTTTGCTCACATCAACCTTGCTTTGTTTGCTCATTGAGTTATACAGCATGCAAACAGACCCTTTGGCCCAACCCGTCCATGCTGTACACATACCCTAAAATTAATCTAGTCCCATTTGCCAGCATTTGGTCCATATCCTTCTAAACACTTATTAATCATGTACCCATCCAGATGCCTTTTAAATGTTGTAATTGTACCAGCCTCCCCCACTTCCTCTGGCAGCTCATTCCATTCACACACCACCCTCTGTGTGAAAGTGTTACCCATTAGGTTCCTTGTAAATCTTTCCCCTCTCACCTTAAACCTATGCCCTCTAGGTTTGGACTCCCCTACCCTGGGGTAAAATATCTTGTCTATTTATCCATGCCCCTCATGATTTTATAAACCTCTATAAGGTCATCCCTCAGGCTCTGACGCTCCAGGGAAAATAGCCCCAACCTATTCAGCCTCTCCCTGTAGCTCAAACCCTCCAGCACTGGCAACATTCTTGTAAATCATTTCTGAACCTTTTCAAGTTACACAACATCCTTTCTATAGCAGGGAGACCAGAAATGAATGCAGTATTCCAAAGGTGACCTAACCAATGTCCTGTACAGCTACAACATGACTCCTCTCCTTGATGCACTTACCAATGAAGGCAAGCATACCAAATACCTTCTTCACCTCCCTGTCTACCTATGACTCCACTTTCAAGGAAATCACTTTAAATCAATGCCCTCTTGTTCTGATCTCTTTAACAAGCAAGACTGGTGTGTTTCTAACTACTGTCTCCAGCCTGCTCGTCATTTAGAAAACCTCTATCAGATCTCCTCTCAGCCTTCTCGTCTCTGAAGAGAACAGTCTCAACATCTTCAATCTATCATAGAGGCTCTTTGGCCCATAGGGTCTGTACTATCCCAAATATACCACCGCGATCACTAGTCCCACTTTCCCACCCCAGGCCTGCGGCCTTGAACGTTATGTTAGCTCCCGAACTGATGTTTCTTATTCCTGGAACCATTGTTGTAGATCGCTTCTGCACTCTCTCTCCAATGCATTCACAACTTCCCCACAATGTAGTGTCCACAACTGTACATGATCCTCTAACTGAGGTCTAACAAGTGCCTTGTACAAACATCACCTTCTTGCTCTTGTATGGTCCGACTCTCTGTGCCGCCAGATAATCTGAACTTGGGAGGGTCATCAGCATGGTTCCAGGGTGACCCACCATTCACTGACACCCATGGTGAGAACGCTCACAAGAAAGAAACTGAGGCCAAAGTCAGAGGAGACTCCCTGGCTCCATCTGCCCCAGGGCGCCGTAGAAATGAAGAACGAAAGGCCTTCCTCAGGGCAGGCAGGAGTCTGGCCTTTGAACCAGACACTCCAGGCTCGAGTCATAACTCCAGGAGCTGATTGGCAAGGAACGTGGTCAAACCAGGAAAATTCAAAGACTAGAGGCTGTGTATTTAAAATAGAATTATCTTAGAACTGAGGAGAAATTTCAGTCAGAGAGTTGTGGAAGTTTGGCGTGTTGTGGCATCAGAGTCCAAAAGAAAATTTCAAAGGCGAGAGCAGGATAGAGGCATAATTTTCAAGGGTCCTTGGAATCAAAGTTGGGATGTGGAACTAAATGAGATGAAATTTGCGAAGAGCTGATAGAGGTACAATGGGCTGAATGGCCATGTTTCTGTGCTGTTTGGGCCTAAACACCAACTTGCATAGTTGGGCCAAATTTTTTACTCATTCATAGGAAGTGGGCTTTTTGTGTGACCATGGTTGCCCCTTGAGAAGGTGGTGGTGAGCTGCCTTCCTGAACCGCTGCAGTCCACCTGCTGTGGGTTGACCCACAATGCCCTTAGGGAGGGAATTCCAGGTTTTTGACCCAGCGACACTGAAGGAACGGCGATATATATTTCCATGTCAGGATGGTGAGTGGCTTGGAGGGGAACTTGCAGGTGATGGTGTTCCCATGTACCTGCTGCCCTTGTCCTTCTAGATGGAAGTGGTCGTGGGTTTGGAAGGTGCTGTCTGAGGATCTTTGGTGAATTTCTGCAGTGCATCTTGCAGATAGTACACACTGCTGTTACTGAGCATCGGTGACCGAAGAGACATCATGTGCCTGATTATCTATGTCTCTGTTGATGAACTGATTTCACCTTTGTTTTCTTCCTCCAGAACCTACGTCTCCCAGGCTTGGCAGAGGGCAGCATTGAGGGAGGAGGAACCAAGTTATTCTGAGCTGACCTGTACAGCATCTGGTGATTTGGCCATCACAAGGCGACGGGACTTTACCTTCCTTCAACGGCAGTGTGAATTGCAAAGGCTTCTGTCCCTCAGGTTGTTTGATGCTGTAGTCTTGTGTCCTCCGTTTCTCCTCAACCTTCCCCTCACTGCGCCTCGGAACTTGTTGGTATCTGTTTCCAGGGGAATAGTTACAGATTGTGCTGTTGGACTGTGAAAGGCTTCACATCAGGCCTTGGTGTCAGAATAAATATCCTTTTTATTATTTTACACACCTTTTAGTTTTATGTGTTCCAATAAAATCTGATCAAATCAGGTGTGTGTTTCTTTCCTTTCGAATCAAATGGGCATGGAGTGGAGGGGTTTTCTTTGGCTGGGGCTTGGGCTGGGGGTGGGCTGTGTGATGATTATTTTTTGGTTAATATTGGACTGCCCTCCTGCACTTCCATGTGTTGTCAGCTGCCTGTCCTCCATCTTGTTTCTCCCTTGCCTCCATTTTGTATGATCAGGTAAAGTTCAATGGTGGGAGTTGACAATCCACCTTCCGTGTTTCCAGTTTAAAGATATGAGAAAAAGGTTCAAGATATTCAATAGATTCACCTGTCCATATATGACCTACTCGTATCTACACTCGCTTCCCTTTTCCGTTTCTTTCTTCCCTTCCTGCCACCCCTCTGAAATATTGCCTTTCCCAATTCAACACCTAACCCCTGCCCTTTCTTTCATAAAGTTGGCTTGTCGGGGCTAATCCTACATGAACACTCCGTTTCTCCTCAACCTTCCCCTCACTGCGCCTCGGAACTTGTTGGTATCTGTTTCCAGGGGAATAGTTACAGATTGTGCTGTTGGACTGTGAAAGGCTTCACATCAGGCCTTGGTGGAGTGGTCTATCAGAATAAATATCCTTTTTATTATTTTACACACCTTTTAGTTTTATGTGTTCCAATAAAATCTGATCAAATCAGATGTGTGTTTCTTTCCTTTCGAATCAAATGGGCATGGAGTGGAGGGGTTTTCTTGTGAAATTTTTATTTTGGTAAGAGGTGAGGGAAACTGGTGGTGAAATATGAAGGCCAGAGAGTAACTCACCTCCTGCCTCCTCAAAGCTTATCCACCATCTACAAGGCACAAGTCAGGAGTGTGATGGAATACTCCCCACTTGCCTGGATGGGTGCAGCTCCAACAACGCTCAAGAAACTTGACACCATCCAGGACAAAGCATCCCGCTTGTTTGGCACCACATCCACAAGCATCCACTCCCTCCACCACCGACGCTCAGTAGCAGCAGTGTGTACTATCTACAAGATGCACTGCAGAAATTCATCAAAGATCCTCAGACAGCACCTTCCAAACCCACGACCACTTCCATCTAGAAAGACAAGGGCAGCAGATACATGGGGAACACCATCACCTCCAAGTTCCCCTCCAAGCCATTCACCTTCCTGACTCAGAAATATATTACCGTTCCTTCACTATCGCTGGGTCAAAATCCTGGAATTCCCTCCCTAAGGGCATTGTGGCTCAACCAACGGCAGGTGGACTGCAGCGGTTCAAGGAGTCAGCTCACCCCCCCCCCCCCCCCCAATTTCTCAAGGAGCAACTAGAGATGGGCAATAAATGCTGGTTCAGCAAGGGATGCCCACGTCCCAAGAATGAACAAAGAAAATCCCAGGAGTTTGGAAGAATGAGGAGAGTTCTCATAGAGACCTATAAAATTCTAACAGGATTCGGCAGGTTAAATGCAGGAAAGGTGTTCCCAATGACCAGGGAACCAGGGCTCACAGTCTAATGTTATATGGTAGGCCATTTAGCACTGAGATGAGGAAATATTTATTCATCCAGACAGGAGTGAGCCTCTGGGATTATCTGCTGCAGAAGATGCCAGATGTAGATTCGGATCTTGAATGTTTTCAAGAAGGAGTTCAATATAGTTCTTACAGTTAAAAGGATCAAAGGGTATGGGGAGAAAGTGGGAAGAAGGGACTAAGTTGGATGATCATCCATGATCGTATTGAAGCAGACTCAAAGGACTGAATGGCCTACTCGTATGTTCCATGCAGAAAGCAAAGCATCAGGACCCCCTTCCAATTAAGCATGAAACCACTCCAAGTACATTTGGGAGTCAGATGTAGTCGAATCTCGTCTCACCCATTTGGCAGGGGCCCTGGGAAGAGGTGGAATAGCCTGGGGGTAGTGGAGCTGATTAGCTGTAGGACAATGATAGTATTGTGGGAATGTCAGTGGATTAGCATTGTAGAGGTTCAAGCTAATGCTCATGGCTTTATATCCTATCACTGCAGCTAGTTCCAATGAATACATATTTAATATAAAGGCAGTCTTGGTGATGGTGGCCATGCAACTATCATCGATTCTCATGAAATACCCATCTGGATCATTAATGCCCTTTAGGGATTGAAATCCTTTGATCTTGCCTTTATGTGACTCTAGGCCGACAGCAATGTGGCTGATTCTCACCTACCTTCTGAAAAAGGGCAGTTAGTGATGTACACCAATGTTTAAACTTGTTAGAAACTAGTGCAATTCAGGAAACTGAGCCAAAACCTGCAAATATTGGATTTGTTCTTGCTCTTCAGTAGAGAAAACGGAGCTAGTTTGGTGGATATCTGGTAAGAGCTTTAAGGGCTGTTCTATTCAAAGTTTTAACATGCACAAATTGGTGGTAAAGTAAATAAAATAGATACAAAAAAGACCTAAGTGAATAATATTATGAAATTGATAAAAACTCATAATATTGACTTAAAACTCACCAGGCCTGGTGATGTGTGTCAAGGCTGCAGTATGTGGGAGCTCCTGGATGCCATTGTCATCCAGGGCAAACATGTCTGCTATAGTGATTTGAGATCATGGTTTGAGATGGATACTGAACTGCAGACATTGCGATGTATCAGGAGGCAGTCACAGCATTAGGATATTGTCTTCTGATTTGACTGGGGTCAGAGACAGGAGGATGTGATTGCAAGTGAGACAAGGAAGGGGACCCAGACGAAAGTTCAGAGACTGCTTACTAGGATTGATACTCGGAATGAATCTGTTGTACAAATTGGCTGGGCTTATTTCTGTTGGTGGTTAGAAAAGTGAGGGGTGTCTTAATTGAAGTGGATAAGATCATGAATGGTTTTGACAAGATGGTTATAGAAGGTACGGCTGGATTAGTCCATGCCAAAGGATATTATTTTAAAATAAGGGATCACCCCTTTTAAGGGTGGCATAGTGATTCAGTGGTTGGCACTGTTCCCTCACAGCGCCAGGGACCCGGGTTCGATTCTACCCTTGGGTGACTGTGTGGAGTTTGCACATTCTCCCTGTGTCTGCGTGGGTTTCCTCCGGGTGCTCCGGTTTCCTCCCACAGTCCAAAGATGTGCAGGTTAGGTGGATTGGCCATGCTAAATTGCCCATAGTGTCCAGGGGTATGCAGACTGGGTGGGTTAGCCAGCGGAAATGCAGGGTTACAGGGATAGGCCTGGGGGAGATGAACTTCAAAGGCTGAATAGCCTCTTTCCATACTGTAGGGATTCTGTGACAGAGATGAAAAGTGAGGCCTGTGTGACTTTGGAACTCCCTGCCTCAGAAGACACAGGGAGTTGATGGTCACTGAATATTTTTAAGGTGTGGGAGGAATCAGAAAGTTATGGGGGATAGAAAAGATTGTGGATTTTGAAACAGAAACTGATCAGCCATGATCCTATCAATGGCAGGTCTTGAGGTGCTGTGTAGTATCTGTCTGTTACTGTTTAATATCTTCGTATGAAACCAGTGATGTCCACATCCCACGAAAAAGCAAGTAGCATTTGATGGAGGGCCGAATGGCCTTTTCTTGTTGCAGGTTTCTGAACTGCCTCTTTCACAGTGCCTGCTGTTAGGTTTTGTGGTGTGTTTATTGACCTGGGAAATGTATAATTTCTGGACTGTGAACATTTCACTTCCTGGATGCAGTGTGCTGTTAGACGCGGCCAGTTGCAGATGGACGTTGAGAAAGGCCAGAGGAAGGGAAGGAAATGTGACCCTCGATAGTAACGTTCAATTAGAATTCACCAATCCCTGTCTGTAAACACTTTCTGATCCCTCAGCAACAGCAGAGGAACAGGAGCTGTTCCCTGTTGAGGCTGAAAGCACTCACTTCAATCATCATATCAGGCCTGAAATTTACTGGGGGTTTTGGATATGAACATAGGAGCCAGGAGCAGGAGTAGGCCATTCAGCCCCTCGAGCCTGGTCCGCCATTTAATGCAATCATGGCTGATCTTATCTTGGCTTCAGCTCCACTTCCTTGCCCATGACCCTTTAACCCATTGCTAATTATAAACCTGTCTATCTCCTCCTTAAATTTACTTAGTGTCCCAGCATCCACTGAATTCCACAGATTCACAGTCCTTCGAGAGAAGTAATTCCTCCTGGTCTCTGTTTCAAATCTTCTACCCCACCCCCCCACCCCAGTCTAAAAATGGAGCCACTTTGGAAAGGTAGTGGTGAAGGTGCCAGACATCATTTTAATTATGCGCCAATTTTAACTACACCCAGCCCCTCCAAAAGCATTGACATCAGAGAGAGGTGAGAGGGAATGGGAATTAGGTTGGTGTTTGCTTTGGAAAGCCAAGGGCTGAAAAAGATGGGTGGCACAGTGGCTCAGTGGTTAGTACAGCTGCCTCACAGGGTTCAATTCCACCCTCGGGCAACTGTCTGTGTGGGGTTTGCACATTCTCCCCGTGTCTGCGTGGGTTTCCTCCGGGTGCTCTGGTTTCCTCCTGCAGTCCAAAGATGTGCAGGTTAGGTGTGTTAGCCATAGGAAATACAGGATTATAGGGATGGGGTGGGTCTTGGTGGGATGCTCTTCAGAGGATCGGTGTGGACTTGATGGGCTGAATGGCCTGCTTCCACGCTATAGGGATGCTACAAGAACAGTCCTTGGAATGACCTCAGCACTTGGAATAACATGGAGAGGCAAGCTGGAAACCAGGGAGGCCAGTAAGGTCCATTCGGGAGCTAGGGCTAGTACACCCTCTGTAGTGAGCTCTCACCAAAGTATGATGGAGCTGGGCAGCAGTGGAGTGACCTTAGGCCAGTATGTGGCTTTTGTCCTATTTTAACTCTTCCCCGAGACACCGTTCTCTGAAGAATGAGGACAATGGGTGCTTGTTCAATAAATATCAGGTTGAATTTGGTTGGACAGATCACATCATGGTGCGATGATGGTAAAAAGAGGGGCACCAAGGAATTACAAACAAGTTAAACAAATATTTGGTGCAAAATTGCTAGATTGTATAATTCTAATTAAAGGTAGGGTGGCTGAGCACCATAAATCCTTTGCTGATCAATTAGTAAATGATGAATTTTTAAAGAATAGAATCGGCCTGTCAAATCTGTTTGAATTCTTTTGGACACAAGAACATTAAGGATGGTGCTTATCTGGATTTCCAGAAGGTGTGCAATCCCTGAATTGTGGAATTGTTTATAATGCAGAAGAAAGCCATTCTGTGCATCTTTTCTGCACCAACTCACCAAATAAGCATTTTTACTTCATGTCAATCTTCTACCTTTTCTCCGTAACCTTTCAATGTCCGTTATATTGTTATATTGTTATGAATATTTGAAATGTTGATACTCTTGCATTTGTCCTGATGAGTGCAAAATGGAAAGCTTCAACAACGTTGAATTTCTACTGTGTGGAAGCAGGCCATTCAGCCCATATACCAAAGTTCTAAAGAGCATCCCACCCAGCCCTGGCCCCCTGTAACCAATCCACCTAACCTGCACATCTTTGGACTGTGGGAGGAAACCCACACAGACACAGAGAGATTGTGCAAACTCCACACAGACAGTCACCCCAGAGTGGGATTGAACCCAGGTCCACGTAGTGCTATAAGGCAGCAGTGCTAAACACTGAGCCACCACACCACCTAGAGACATGGGTTTTGTTATGACAATATTCAAGTTTTATACAACCAATGGATTCTGCTTAGCTCTGTAGCTTTTATTCCAGAATGCAAGCAATTATGATGCTCAGCCAGACCCAGCAAGCTGGGGAGATGATAGCCTAGTGGTATTATCACTGGATTGTTAATCTAGAGACCCAGATAATACTCTGGGGACCTGGCTTCAAATCCCATTAAAGCAGATGGTGGAATTTGAATTCAATAAGATATCTGGAATTAAGAATCTAATGATGACCATGAGTCCATTGTCAATTATTGAAAAAAAAAACCCATCTGGTTCACTAATACCCTTTAGGGAAGGAAACTGCCATCATTACTTAGTCTAGGCTAGCCTTTATGTGACTCCAGACCCAGAGCAATGTGGTTGACTCTGGGCAATTAGGGATGGGCAATAAATGCTGCCTAGCCAGCAACACCCTCATCCTGTGAATGATTAAAAACAAAATCAGTTTAGTCTATTTGTCTTTAGCAGCTCTGAGCTAACCTTCATTATATCTGGGTTCCTGAAGCAGATTCAGGCTGTCACATACTTTGTGATTCCTGTGATAGTTCAATAGCTCACCACGATGCCACCCCCAGGTATCGGACTGAATGGCTAGTGCCCGGGTAATCAAGCAGGATCCTGCACTTAGAACGGAGAAATGAATTCCCTCAGGCTAACACAGGGTTTGTGAAAGATGGATTTTTATTTGTGTGTACAAGTGTTTGATGACTTGTTGGTATCCTGATGGACAGGCAGGGCTGCTGTCGTGTGGGGAGAGGCAACATGCTCTGGGTGAGCTGACAGAACAGCCTGAATGCACTGAAGGGCTATGCCTGCCTTCACCCAGCTTCAGACCAGACCTGGCAGGGAGCTCCTGCTTTTAGACCCGATCGTCACTCTGCACTCCTCTTCCCATCGGCTCCAGCCCTGCCAGCCCATCACCTGGAGAGATCCTGGGGCTTAGACAGAGACTGCGATTAACTATTGGGTGTAAAGTTCCAGCGCTGCCAGTTCGCATTAGATAAGTGAGAGGGGAGAGAAAATAGGCTTAATGTTTTGGTAAGAATCTTCTTCGGGCAACTGGAGAGTCCTGACCAAGATCCTCAGGTGGAATTGGACCTTTGACCCTCTTCACCAGAGAGCAGGGTGAGAATTCACCGCAGTTTCTGCTTGGAAATCTTCTGGGTGTTATGAGTGGGGATGGGGAGGGGAAGAAGCAAAGGTTGGCAGAAGGGGGAGTGAAGGGGTAAGATGAACGACTGAAACAGGCACAGGGAATGGAGGAAAAGAGAGAGATGAGGAACAAGTAGGATGAAGGAGGGGTGAGGTCAGGGGTGACAGAGGGAGGCAGAAAGGGGAAAGGAATGGAACGTAGTGGAGGGAGAGTGAAGGGATGGAGTGGGGAGCAGTAAATGGAGGGGGAAAGAGAGGGGAGAGGGCGAAGGAGCAGGGAGCAGGGGAGGAGGAGTAAAACAGGAATTATAACATGAAAGGGGAGGGGAGTGTGAATGGAAAAGTAAATGTAAGAGGTGCAGGGTTGGTGTGTAAAAGGAGAATAATGTGGAGAAGCCTCAGTTATCTAATTCAAACCATTGTATCATATATGCAGGTGAAATAATAAAGCTTTGCAATTTCATTTAGATGATTTTTTGTTGAATGGGTAGAGTACTCATAAAGCGGAGGATATCTTCTTTGACCGTAACCATGGGGACCTGTGGGAACCAGCGCAGGACGGCCTTGCCATCAGGCCCAACGAGAAACTTCTCAAAGTTCCACTTGATATCAGAGATCTTGAGGGGCTGCCAGAAAAGCTTGTCGGGGTTTCCAAAGCTGTTTCCCACTGGGCCACAGGCATTCTGCTCAAAGCAACAAAAACAGGAAGGATGTGTGGATAGATTAATCTTTAGCATCTTCACCTCACCTGCCCTACAACCTCCAACCCATTTGCCCATCCCCAACAGGCAACATCATGGGATCAGAATGAATTCCCAAGCTCCGCGCACACATCAGCCACTGAGTATTGCAGCCCAGTTAGCGGCAGTTCCCCGAGAATACTCGAGCCATCCATCCAATCCCAAAGATGATTCATATCGGACTCAAAGTGTAAAATCTGTTTCTCTTTCCATACAGACTGCCAATCTCGGTGGGTATTAATGCTGGCCTTGCTAACAATGTCTACTCAGAATTATTATAAGAAAAAGATCATTTGTAAGGGGGTCCATAATCATCCCCAAGATTGAAAAGGGCTTAATCTGCATCTCATCAGGTTGGATTCAACTTTATCATTGTCTATTCTCAACTGTGGAAAGTTCCAGAATTTGGAACAATCTATTCCGATCCAGGTAGATTTGATTTATTCCCAGGCAACCGTTCTTTCAATGTGCCTCCAACAGTGCAGCACTCTCTCAGTACTGGTTCAAAACTGTTTGGGACAGGGATGGTTGTGAGAGACACGGTTTGTGAGGGTATCCCTTACCTTCAGGTACGTGAATAGCTGCTGCTCGTTTTCCCCGTTCACATCTCCTTTCCTGAACAGTTGGAAGTTTGGAACAAACCCGTTGCCGGGGCGGATATACCTGTGACCAAACGGCAACAGAGGAGTTATCCAGGGAAAAAAAAAACAAAACATTTCGGGCTGGAGCCCAAAGTGATGGCATTGTCCAGTGAAAGGTCATTCAGACCTCTCCCACTGGAAGGGACTACTGTTCAGTGTCTTTACCCAAAGGGGGTCCCACACTTAGCACTTTCCCTGGATTGTGACTATGGGCAGGAATGCAGATGGATTCTCCCAATCACACGGTCACTCAGACTGATTGTGCTGCTGTGACCTGGTAATAATCGGGGAGACAATGGGGTAGTTATAACATCACCGGATGAGCAATCCAGGATAATGCCCCACTCTGTCTAATCTGGCTCTCTGAATGAGCATCACACTTAGTGATGCCTTCTCCCTCCAACCGTGAACATTGTTGCTCATCTAAGAGATATCTAATCCCCTTTTGAATGATTGAATCTTCCTCCACCACACTCTCAGGCAGTGCGTTCCAGACCCCTAACCACTTGCTGCATGAGAACACGTTTCCTCAGAAAGCCTTTGATTCCTTGCCTAATTGCGGTCAATCTGTGTCCTTTCGTTCTCGATCCTTCCATGAAGACATGGAAACAAAACATCAGAAACAACCATTTGGCACTTCAAGCCTGTTCTGTCATGCAAGAGATTGTGGTTGATCTGTTTATGTTCCAAGTTCCACATTCCCATCTACCTCAGCTCCCTCCCAAGCAAGGTTCAGAGTACTGTGTGCAGTTCTGGTTGCCACATTGTAGGAAGGGTGTGGAGGGTTTGGAAAGAGTGCAAAAACAGGATTACCTTGTTGCTGGGGTAGTGGAACTGCCGATGCTGGAGAATCTGAGATAACAAGGTGTAAAGCTGGATGAACACAGCAGGCCAAGCAGCATCAGAGGAGCAGGAAAGCTGATGTTTCAGGTCTGGGCCCTTCTTTAGAAAATGTTCTGAACTATTACCTATTACCAGCCTATTACTAGGTTGCTGCCTGGATTGAAGTGTACTCACTATAATGAGAGATTGGACAAACTTGGATTGTTTTTTACTGGCATGTCAGAGGCTGAGGGACAACCTGATCGAAGTATATAAAATCATAAGGGGCATGGATAGGGTGGATAGTCAGAGTCTTTATTCCAGGGTGGAAATGTTGCCTGGAACACGCTGCCAGGGGAGGTGGCAAAAGCAGATATGATAGTCATATTTAAGAGGGTATTCAGACAGAGACATGAACAGGCAGGGAATAGAAGGATGTGGACCATGTGGAGATAGATGGGATTAGTTCAGTTTGGCATCATGGTTGGCACGGACAGACAGGATGGGCCGAAAGGCCTGTTTCTGTGCTGTGCTGTTTATATTGTATGTTCTATCCACCTCCGCCTTTAAAATATTCGATGACATCACCTCCACCACCTTCTGAGGCAGTGAATTTCAAAGGCCCACAGCCCTCAGAGAAAAACAAAATTCCTAACTTCTGTCCTAAAAAGTTGACCCATAATTTTGACATAACTTGGGACTCTTTCTGTGCCACCTTGTCAAGACCCTTCAGGATCTTATGAACTTCAATTAAACCTCGCTCAATATTCTAAACTCCAGTAGAAACAAGCCCAGCCTATCCAATGTCTCCTCATAATGCAAACCACACTGTCTTGTGTATCAATCCCGTAAACCCTCCCCCAAATTGCCTGTGATGCATTTATACCCCTTCTGAAATGAGGAGATGTAAACTGATCTCAATGTACAAACGTACAGTATACTCGGAGGCCTAGATAGAGTGGACATGGAGATGATGTTTGCGCGAGTAGGAGAAACTAGAACCTGGGGGCACAGCCTCGGAGTGAAGGGACAACCCTTTAAAATTGAGACGAGGAGGAATTTCTTCAGCCAGAAGGTGGTGAATCTGTGGAGCTCATTGCTGCAGAGGGCTGAGGAGGCCAAGTCATTGAGTGTCTTTAAGACATAGATAGATAGGTTCTTGATTGGTAAAGGGGATCAAGGGTTACAGGAGAATGGGGTTGGGAAACATATCAGCCATGATTGATTGGTGAAGAAGATCCCATGGGCCGAATGGCCTAATTCTGCTCCTATTACTTATGTTCTTATGGTATAACTTGTATAACTGAGGCTTTTAATCCGTACTTTAGTATTTAAATCCTCCTGTAATAAAGGATAGCATTCCATTTACCATTGTAATCACTTGCTGTGCCTTCATACAGACATTGTAACTCTTCCACAAGAACAGCTGGATTTCTCTGCTCCTCAGAATTCTTTAGTCATTGTCCATTCAATAATCCTTGGCCTTCTTTCAGTCCTTCCTGCCAAAATGTTCAAGTTGACATTTTCCCACATTGTACACCATCTGCTAGATTTTCATACACTATCAATATCAGGCTGCCTCCTTGCTCTGTTGTCTTCAGATCAAGCTTTCCCACCTCCTCCATCTTCTGCCCTCTCATCTAAATCATTGATACGAATTGTAAAATGTTCACCCCTGCGAGTTTCCGCTGATCAAATCTACACAATCTGAAAAAGACCCATTTAGGCATATGCTCCATTTTCTGTCAGCCAGCTATCTATGCTAGAGTAACCTGAAGTGGGGCAGTTCCTCCGAAATTACTCTGTCCAGAACTATGTGATTTTGAGTACATAGAATCCCTGCAGGCCATTTGGCCCGTTAAGTCAACACTATCCCTCCTAGGAGCATCCCACCCTATCCCTGTAACCCTGCATTTCCCATGCCTAACCCACTGAACCAGCACATTCCCAGACACGACAGGCAATTTAAGCATAGCCAATCGATCCTAACCTGCACATCCTTGCACTATGGGCAGAAACTGAAGCACCCAGAGGAAATCCACACAGACACAGGGAGAATGTGCAAACTCCACACAGAAAGTCACCCGAGAGTGGAATCGAACAAAGGTCCCTGTTGCTGTGAGGTAGCAATGCTAACACTGAACCACCCATGCTGCCTCTATCAGACCTCCCAGTCTCCAGGGAAACAATCTTTACAGCTAAGATATCACCTCCCTGAATCCATTCTTGATAACCTCTGACACCCTGCCCAAACTTTTCACATTCTTCCTGAAGTGCACTGCTCTGGAGAGGCTAAAGCCTCTTATCCAAGCGTCACCACCCTGTTCTTATACCTTGTTATCAAGCTTAGGATACCATACACTTTACTAACTGTTCTCTTAACCAATCCTGTCACTTCTTAACGGATAGTTGTCAAGATCCCCATTACTAAGATTAGCTTTAGATTCCAGAAGTTATTAATCAAATTTAAATTCCGTCAATAACCCTGGTGTGATTTGAACCCATGTCTCCTGAGCTTTAAACCTGTGTTTCTGGATTATTATGGTCAGTGATAAGACCACAATGGCACCATTTCCATGAATAGGGGCTATAGCTCTAAGTCTACTGATAGCCCTTCACAATGTCTAACATCTTTTCTGAAGTGAGTCCTTCCCAGCAGCCATACAGAGTGGGCAGGGGATTGGAGAGGGATCAGTCACTTACTTCAACAAAGGGAGGATCTCATTGTTTTCAGCTGGTTCCTGTTTGCCAAACTGGTTGGATGGGAATGCGAGGATGGTGAAACCATCTTGACCCAGTTCCTCCTGTAGTGCATTCATTTCTAGAGGGGAAAAGGTTGTTCATAAAACATTAAGATCAGACCGGTGAGTCTTGTTCCCTGTAGATATGATTCCTGCTCCACCTCAATGGGGTAACATTGCTGGAAATCAAGTCTCACTGTTTCCAGATTCATCACAAATATTAAAGATTTTAAAAAGTACTCAAACTTCCTCAAGGTGACTGGCTTTTAGACCCAGGTTGATAGAAAACACATCAGCTTTACCCCCATAAACAGAATTACCATTTATAACAAAATAAATAGATCCTAACTACAGATAAACAGTGATGAACCATCAACGTATAACTCTATTGGTTAATGCATAACTATTTAACAAACTCCCCCTCTACACACACATACAGGCAACACAGTCAAAAAAAATGGGTGTTATGGATTGAGTGAAAGACCGAGAAGGCAGCTCAATGGTCCTTGTCCACAGGGTTTGCTGAGGTGATTCTTTTGGTTGCTCAAGACTTGCTGCTCCTCGACCTTCAGATGCTTTCATTTACCTGCAGGAGGCACAAGGTCACTGGTTCACAACTTAGAAAGTCTCTGACTAATTAGCTAAGAGCCACAGCGTACAGCAAGTGGATGAGAAAAAAAAATACACCAACTTTCTTCAGGTTTGAGGTAGGTTTTACTACAGAGAAGAGAACAGTCCTCTCCTTCCAGAGGTCCGATAAGTTTTCCTTCAAACATACGTACCCACAAGCTGCTCAGCGACCTGGGAGCCAATCATATAGCAGCTGCCCAGCAGAAGGCCTTTGTCATCAGAAGCAGTCATAAATCTCTAGACCAATCAGCTATTTGTTGCCGGCTGAATCTCCCATTGTATTCAGGCCTGTCTCGTCTGGGACTAGACTTTCTTCACTGCTTGAGCAAACAGCTGTGCAACAGCACTTATAATGAGTGTTGGTAACTTGCTTTTAAAAAAAGTGCTCCAATCCCATCCACAATCCTTGTTCTTTTTAAAAACTGACCCTTTTCCCATTTCAGTCCACAATCAAAAGTACAGAAAAATAAAAAAAGGGTTTGGTCTTTACATTCGATTGGGCTCTTTATCAATCTGGAACATTCGCTGCCTGCTTTCTTGTCTTCGAGTTCAGCAGCAATTTTGTGCTTGGGTTCCCATTTCCAACATGGCTCTCTGAGAATTGGGGTTGGGATTTTTTTTTGGACAATAAAGGAAAACGAAAGATTTAAGGGAAAAAACTGCTAAAGGGAAGAGAGAAGTGGAAAGCAATTTATTACTGCATTTTGGAAATATAGTTCCAAGGAAAGATCTAAATTTGAAAAGTTAAATGAAAAGTGAGTAGCACAGAGTGACAGACTTTTCCCTACTTTGATTTCCCAGCTTCTGGAGAATCAAGTAAAGTTAGAAACATTGTTTTCACTGGTGGGTAATTAATCGAAGGATACACTCTTACAACTGTACACATTAATCCCAGTCCTGCTCCAAATTTAGATGTTTGTACAACCAGCTGGGGCGTGGTGAGAAGAATTTCTTTTTGGAACTGATTTGATCCGATCTGGGATCCACTGGCTGAAAGGGCGATGAAAACAGCTGCAAGACCAACTTTCAGAAGACAGAGAATGGGGGCCATGGGGTTGGATGAACGTCCGAAAGTAAACGTAAAAATCATGCATTTTTGTTTTACTGTACCTTTGACTGCAGACGGAAATGGGAAAAAGACTGCTCCAAAACTAAGGAATGCCGCATCTTTTAAAAGCAGGTTACTTGACGCTCACTAAGTGCTGGTAGATTGAATGTCAGTGATTTGTCACTGTTTACAAAGAAATTCTTGTTAAGAACCTGGACCATGTTTTCTGTCAACCTTGGTCTAAAAGCCAGGTCAACTGCGTACTTTATTAAAATCGTTAACTTTTATGATGAGTTGGGGAATCATGGGGCTTGATTTCCAGTGCACTACCCCAGGGAGGTGTTATAGCATTGAAACAACTCCACGAAGGCTGGTATCCTGTCACCAAATCAGCCTGTATTTACTCATGCATAGCAGTCCACGCTGGTCCAGCTTCCTCAGAGCCAGCTCTCAGAGTGAGGGGCATAGATAAGGTGAATAGCAAGGTCTTTTCCCTAGGGTAGGGGAGTTCAACACTAGAGGGCATATCTTTAAGGTAAGAGAGGAAAGATTTAAAAAGGGACCTGAGGGGCAACTTTTTCCACACAGAGCAAGGTTCATATGTGGAATGAACTGCCAGAGGAAGTTGGATGCAGGTACAGTTACAACATTTTAAAAGACATTTGAATAGGTACATGAATAGGGAAGGTTTAGAGGGATGTGGGTCAAATGCTGGCAAATGGGACTAGTTTAGTTTGGTTTGGGAAACCTGGTCGGCATGGACGAGTTGGACCAAAGGGCCTGTTGCTATGTTGTATGACTCTAAAATTGTAAACAATTGATCTCTGTGGTACACCACTCATTACACCTTGGCAAACTGAATGAGCCATTTACGTATACACTCTGTTTCCTGTAGGCCAGCCAGTCTTCAATGCATGCCAATGTGCTTCTCCCGACACAATAAAGCAAAACGTTTTGATTTAGCATTTGTCAAATGCCTTTGAGAAATTGAACCACTGGCTCCCCTTTATCAACAGCACATACTACATCCTCAATAAATTCTAATAGTTTGTTTTAACATGATTTCTATTTCACGAAACCATGTTAACTCTGCCCCATTAACTTGAGCTTATCTATCTGCCCTGACATAATGCCTTTAACAACAACTTCTACTGCTTTTCTTAATGAGCCAATTGGCCAGAATTCTCCTGCTTTCTGTCTCCACCTCCACCTCCTTTTGAGGAAACGAGGTACATTAATTATCATCCAATAGGGCCATTCCAGAATTGAGGAAAATGAAAACCAGTGCATCAACTATCTTATGAGCCACTTCTTATAAAGCTTAGGAGGAAGTCCCATCAGAATCCATGCACTTGTCAACCCCTGCTCCAACAATTTGGTACCATTTCTCTGGTGCATGTGATTTTCCGGAGTTCCTCCCTCCCTTCCATTCCCTAATTTATCACTGCTCCTGGACAACATTCCCTCTAAGTCACATGGCACAGCAGCTTGGAGCTTCCTGAGGTTCTGCGAATTCCGATTGGCATGCTCTGATGATACGATGCCTTTAAGAGGTCTATTTTATCCTGAATTTTTTTTTGGAGAGGTTTTAAGCCAGACGTGTAGAGCTGTCTATTTGAATTACTTAGTTGAATTATTCCTGGCCTCTGACTGCCCTTGTAGCTGGTGTACTCATATGGCTTGTCCAGTTAAATTCCCGGTCAATGGTAACCCCAGGATGTTGATAGTGAGGGATTCAGTGATGGGAACATCATTGAATGTCAAGGAGGCAGCTATTAGATTCTCTCTTATTGGAGATGGTCTTTGCCTGGTATTTCTGTGGCATTAATGTTATTTGTCACAAGTCAGCTCAAACCTGGATATTGTCTAGATCTGATTGTATTTGAACATGGACTGCTTCAGTACCTGAGGAGTCGCAATCATCAGCAAACATTCCCACTTCTGACCCTATGATGGAGGGAAGGCCATTCATGAAGCAGCTGAAGATGGTTGAAAGTATTCGATGAGCGCCTCCACTAGCCTAACTTTGGTTATTCAGTTTCTGCAGTCAGTTCTGAAGAAGTGTCACACTGGACTTGAAATGTTAACTTTCTCTCTCCAGAGGCACTGCCAGACCTGTGGTGTTCATCTGGTGATTTTTTTCTACTTTGCAGTATTTATTCGGCTTTTTCAATTGATATGCAGATTAAAATGCACCATGATTATCACTGTGCCTTTCTGACAATCTCTTGTTATTTCATCTTTTACACCCCTCTCTTTGGTTTTGAACTGCAAATGGACTGACTGGAGTTGATTTCCTTAGAGGCAAGAAGATTCAGAGCTGACATGATTAAGATTTTGTGTGAGAGTCATAGATAGGGTAGACAGGAAGGAACCTTTCTCCTTGATGGAGGGATCAATGACCAAGCGCATAGCTTGAAGGGAAGTGGCAGGAGGTTTAGAGGAGATGAGGAAAACCTTTTTACCCAGAGGGTGGTGGGAGTCTGGAACTCACTGCCTAGAACGGAGGGAGAGGCAGAAACCCTTGTCATATTGATGAAGTATTTAGTTGTACAATTGCGATGCCAAGACATACAAAGCTATGGGCCAAGTCCTTGGAAAATAGGGTTAGAATTCACTCACCTTTACTGGCTCCATCCTTGCCTCTTTGACCTGTCTGTTTCCTCTCCACCTATCTTCTCCTCTATCCATCTTCTATCCGCCTCCCCCTCTCTCCCTATTTATTTCAGAACCCCCTTCCCCTCCCCCATTTCTGATGAAGGGTCTAGGCCTGAAACGTCAGCCTTCCTGCTCCTATGATGCTGCTTGGCCTGCTGTGTTCATCCAGCTCTGCACGTTGTTGTCTCTGGGTTAGAATAGTGGTTGTTTTTGACCAGTGCAGACTTGATGGGCCAAAAGGCCTTTCGCTGTGCTCTGGATTTCCAGGACTTTATGATTCCACCTTACTATGTGGCCACTGTTAGGGACCTGTACACAACTCCCACAAGTGACCTCTTGCTTATATCATTTCTCATTTTTCACCGCAACTCATTCTCCATCTTAGTTTCTGAATATAGGCCCACTTTTTCCTACTTACCTGTGCTGTTCCCTTTGTGCTTCAGGCCACTCCATACCATTCATCCTTCAGCCTGGTTTCTGTTATAGCTACCAAATCATATTTATTCATTTCTATTTGTGCTCCCAGTTCTTCCATTTTGTTTTGAATGCTAGATGTACTCAGATACAGGGCCATTAATTTTACTAGTACCCTTTGGAAATTTTAGTTTTGTTTGTTGGTTGACTCTGGGATTCATACTCTCAATCTCTTCCTGTCATGGTCAGTTTATCATTTCCTGTTGTTTTGATACCTCTCTTTGCTCCTGTTTCTACACTTCCACGTCGTCACCAGATTTTGATCCATCTTCCAAATTTGATTCTTTACCCCC